GTCATACCGGTATATCTGCATTTCGGTTTGCATAAGGGTTTTCATACCATTACCCAAAAATATCGGTAAAATACCGGTATTTTGCATACCGGTATAAGTCCCTGTTTACAACTAATTCTAACACTTTCTCAAATATTGGTAATATACTAATAAGTCTGTATTTACTTGCTTTTTTCGCTTTATCTATTTTTGGTATCGGTACTATCGTCGAAGTTTTCCATCCTTCCGGACAGCAACCAGCTCTCAAAGAACTATTTATTATATCTGCAAACTCCTCCTTTATTACGCAAAAAGCTGCTTTTAATATATTACTAGTTATCCCCTCATCCATACCTTTCTTTTTTGGTAATCCCATAACAATTTTCTCTAACTCGTCTAGCCCTATCATCTCGAAATTTTCCATAATTTCTTTGTCCTCGATAACATAAATAATTTTTTTATTTGTATCGCTGGACCTACATACATTTATAGATTGTACTATATTATTAATACTTTTTAGTATAAATTAAATTTATCGGCTACATTCGGCTCATAAGTATTATCTAAGATTTCAAAATCTATACTTTCTACTATCTTTGTTCCTACAGGCTCACCTTTAATTATTTCTTTCAAGGCTTTTCACATAGTCGTAGAATTTTCTTTGTTGAGATTATCATATTTTCATAATACTCTCTTTTTTTATCTCTAATTAATTTTACAACTGTATTCCTTTCAGTTTTAAATTGCAACCAATTTTGCTCAGTAGTTTCATAAACCGCTTTCTTGTATGTTTTATCCCTTCTATCAGCTGCTTCTCTTATTTCAACTGCAAACCACTTTTTCCCTTCCCACCTTCGGAATTTTAAACTTTCTTATCGGCGCCACTATATCTAACGCTTCTACTATACTGTCCACAAGCTTTGTCGCTCTCATACTGACATCTGTATCTTGTCTTTTATGCAATTTATTTTCCACTAATCTGGTAAATTCATTTATATCAAATTCCTTAAAGCTCCTAGCGCTAAATTCTTTATAGCTATTTTTATTTCTCCTAGCACCAAATTTAACTTGAAGCCATGCATAA